CTAGCAAACCATCAAACCGAGTAAGCCACCTTTCCAGGGACCGGGAGCCGCGGAGGGTTTAACCGAGCTGACCCGAGCCCAGCCCCGCGCTGCTGTGCCCGCGTCCCTCTCCGCTCCCGGCTGTCCCTCGGCCAGGCGCCTGGGCGAAGTTGGCGGGAGCAGCAGCGATAACTCATTTGCATTTGAATTGACACCCTCGTGGCCCAGCGGCGGCAGAAATAGAACAATGGCCGGCCTGAGCCAAAAATAGGTCAAGCATGGCCGGGTGATTGGAGCCTGCATTAATGCGTTTAAAAATACCACAGCAAACACAGCTGTCCAGTCTCTGTCTTTCAAACCGCCGCCCGTCCTCTGCGCGCCGCCCGGCCCCGAGCTCGATGAGCCCCTTCCCCCTGGCCAGCCCGCGGCACGGGGGACACGCCAGGGAGCAGGCAGGAGCCGGACAGGGACGGTCCTCGCGCCCCTCTCCCCGCTCACCCTCCCCCGGGGGAGTGTTTTGTGAAAAGAGAGCAAAACGCCACGGCCTCTGTCTGTATCGGTCCTAAAATAACGCCGGGAGGTTTTGCTGGCGATGTGGTTTCTGCCTCGCCCACGCGCAGCCATCCTGCTGTTCTATTTTTGCTGCCCGTTTCTCTGGCTACGCCACAGTCGGCTTTGGCAGCGGAGCCAGGCGGCCGCCAGCTCCCGGCAGGAGCCGCCGGAGAGGCGATTGCTGCAGCTCCTCGGGCCGGGGGGAGCACAAGGCGGGGGCAGATGTCACTGCGGGACCGCGTTCTGTGCGTGCAGCTATAAGCAGCCTTTCCGTATTTAGCATGCTGCATATAATTCTTATAGTAAGTCACCAGTTGTGGCACGGCGGGTTAGACACGCTTACCGACTATGCGCTATTTGGTTGACTTGCTAAAATTTGGAGAGGGGCTGAGTAGTTCACGCTTATTTTTAAAAGCATTAGGCAATTTACACAGCGTCTTTTTTAGTTCTCCAAGATGCTGTGGTTTCAGAAGAGCAGCTTTTGACAGTGTATCAGAAAACAGCACCTTGCTCCTCTGTGGTTTGCAAGTTTCACACATGTGAAGTTCATTTTTCATGCCGGTGTTTCAAAAAGTTGCATCTCATTTGATGATTAATATATCTACACACGGATAACTTTTATGTCAGTGTAACAGACACTACTTTACTTATTGGAGTCCTACCCTGCCTTACGGCACTTTTTATACAGGTGACCAAAGCCTGTTGCTACCTATATTATACAGCAGCTTGACTACTCTCCTACCAAAATTATAAGTCTGCTTCCATGTTCCTGCTCAACAGGAGCAGCAGTGGCCACTGGGATGTGATTCCTCACCATAATCAAGAAACCAGTACAGAAGCTGTATTGGAACTTTCCAGAAATCCACAAAATCCCCAAATATCAATGTAATATTTTGCTCCTGAAGACAAGAATTTGGGGCTCTCTTCTGCCTTTTGGTGAAGACTTCCATATGCTCTTTAGCTTACATGACAGATCACACCCAAGGGCAGTATATTTTTAAATATACTTCTCACAACAGTGTTACCGAAGGAAAGATTCCCAGTGACAAAGTACTGTGACACTCCCGTGATGTTTGGCTGCTTGGTGGCACCTAGGAAATCTGTGGCTCAAGTCCTCCTGTCATCCCAAACCTTTGCTGCCTCCGCGGGCTTCCACCTGGCCCTGCTGAGAGTTAGGAGCTGCCCCTGGGCAGAGAGAGATGGGAGCAGCAGGCAGCAGCAGGGCTTTTCCCTGCACAATCCTCAAGGTAGCACCTATCTCTCCTCGCCACCCGGCTCTCCGTGGCGTTTTCCTCCCCTACCCCTGTTTTCCCAGGCTCCTGGGGAAGCAGTGAAGCTCTGCGGGTGGCAGCCAGTCTGCAAAGGGGCATGAGCAGGGGCAGGGGCAGCACAGACACAGCTAGGGTGTTCCAGTGCAAGATTTCCAATGGGCACAACTCATACCATCTCATCACTGATTGCTGACAATTTGGTATCATAAACATTTTCTCAGGAAAATAAAATAAAAATACCCAAATGTTTTGTGGGAGATATCTGTCCTTTCTACAGTACAGGGCAGTTTAACACAGTGCAAGAGGCAGCAACGGTAGAAAGAGAAATCTCCTCTAAGGCAGAAAAGGCTTTTTATAGACAGAAGTAAATAGAAAAATTGGAATTGCTTATGCCTTTCAGCCAAACAGAACATGACGCTGTTTGGTGATTCAGCGCCTCAAAATAATCAAGTTTCATATTACAGGGAAACACGGGAGGAATAAGTAAAAAACAGGTCAGAACATGGAAAACTGTGGAGTGTGGCATCCTGGTATTAAGGTACCCCTATGTGTTTATAACTTCTTATACATGCAGCTGCGTTTTTAAAGATAGTGTTCACAGCTATAAATTACTTCAACTACTTCAGTAACTAACTAAAAGCAAACTATATTCAAGACCAGAAAATATAAATTTAGATATTTAGCTGCAAGTGTTCTTAATTTTGATGTACCTGTTTTAAACTGACAGACACATAAACTGTCTTACGTTCACTAACTCACAGACCATAACATAATAGCTACAGCATTATGCTTTACATTTTAGATGATGCATAAAAACTATATAAAAATATTTTAGCTATGAAGTCAGTCACCCCAAAGGTAGGGTTTTTACAACCTGAATTCTTCCGACTTGCTTTGACATATTATAAGCCTACTTTGGTACATGCTTAGGTTTAAAACACGTGTAAATCCATTTCTTTTCAACATAGTATTTAAGCACATTCTCAAATTCTATTGATTGCAATAGAATTTAAGCACATAGTTAAACACTTTGCTGAGTCAGCCCAGACTTTAGCTGCATGATCATGTGAATTTAAGGAGCTCTTAAAGAGTCCCACAGGGGAAGGATAAAGGGTTCGTGCCTGCAGAAAATCTGTTTTTTATTTTTGAAGCTATGGATGTTATAAGGTGACATTTTCATACAGGAACATGAGGGGATTTTTTTTCTATTTTTTTCAAATGCATTTCCTAAACTTGGAGAAGTTTAATGACACTGGCAGTGAGAGTAAACTGCTGAAATGATTTAGTGCTGCTGAGGTGACTCCAAATGCAATCAGGCACTTTATAGAAAACGTAAGGCATGTTAGTAGCACTGTGATCTCATTATAGTATTTTCACAATGTGTTTCTCTTATTTTCCCTCTGAGTTGTTAAAAACAAATAAATATAAGGAAATTAAATCTGGAAACCACATTACTGCAACGTGAAGACTGAGAAATGAAGCCCTCAAATTAGAAAGAGCTATGATTTCTATTGCATTATTAACTCTGCAACATTATAATTAAGTAATACTTTTGTCTTTTTTTTAATTTAATTTTTATTTTCTTTTTGAAATACAAACAGTATATTACTGATTGTTTTTAGCACATCCCATTTCTCACTCATGCTATTCTGGAGCATTGCCTTTATTAATATTAACAATTATTAATTAATATTAACAATTTAGTTTCAACTTTTGCAGGTTTCTTACTTTTAAATGAATACTTGCATAGATTTTTTTTGTCATATTGCTCAATTGTATCACACAAATATTGAACATGTTGAAAAAAGAGATATTCTCTAGCTTCTAGTCATATGCATAAGTGACACCTGCCATCTTACAGGTGTCCCATTCAACCTTCTTTCAGCCTCTTTTTCATTTGGCAAGTGAAAAGGCAGCGAGTAATAACATGCATCAATGTCAAACAATTCATAAACAAGAGGGAGCTAAATTAAGGTTGCATGAGTAGTATTAAATTTGGCCTATTTCAGTACCAAAGGTTTGAGTTCTAATCTTTGCAGCCTAAAGACTTCCTAACCGTTTCTGTGTATCCAATCACTGTGATTAAAAAAAAAAAAAAAAAAAAAAAAAAAGGAAAGAAAATAAAAAAATTAACTATTGTATAGAACAGATGTTTCTGAAGCCACAGTTCATTAGATACCATTAGTACCACATGAAACCCAAACATCCAGCATAAATTACTACAGCTTACGCTAGAGGATTAACCACGTTAACAAACAGCAAAAGACTATTACCACAGAGAAACAGATGGTTTGGGAGCAGAAAGAAATCAGGGGAGATGCTCTAGTGATCGGGTCCTGCTCCCTCTTGGAACCAAGGGACCATATTCCAAGTCCCTGGAGGAATTAGGAATGGATCACTTAATCCATGTGCTCTGGTTAGAAATACAAAGTACAGGAATGTTTCCAACCAATTCTCTGTGTAGCAAGCCTTGGCACTGCCTGTGCAGGAGTACATGGTGCTCTTCTTTGCAGTGCTGGGAAACCATGTGATGGACATTTTTTAAGTGCAGAGAAAACTGCAATTCTAGTGTTTTAGCTCAATTCAAGCTTCAAAGGAATTTTCTGGGACAAAGAAAGGCATATCTGTAGCTTTAGGGGATTTTGTGACAAACAATGGAGAATAAAACTTTACAAAGTTTTGAGGATAAGAAGTGCTACACTAGATAAATGTATGGCTCTCTTATCATCTCTTGTATAAGAATACAAAGAGCCTTGCATCTTTCTCATGCAAATTAGCTCAGGGGTTTTGTAACTAGTTGATGACATCACTTCTTTCTCCTTCTAAAATACAACTTTTTGTTCACATAAATAAATCTACTAGAAATTAAGTCTTAGATTCATGGCAGCTCAACAACACATAGGTGATTATAAGCACAAGGCTTCAGTTAAGCATATGCTTAAGGGCTTCAGAAATTCAAAGTTGCTTTCCTGAATCACAAAGCTCAAGTAATAAAAAGACCCTAACACTAATATAGAGCTATGAAGTAAATAAATTTAGGTTAGGGAAAATATACAGAATTCATTTATTCTGTTGACAAAGTTATTTATCAGGTTGGAACTATAATCTCCATGTTTGGTGGCAAGACTGAGGTAAATTGTACATAAACAACAGAAGCTAAAGCAACATCAGATACTGACAAATAAATGTCTCAGAGCAGCAAAGCACTTTGTCCCTTTTATGCTATTCATGAGTTTAGAGAAGATATGAGCAATATGAGATTTCCTGGCTCTTGATGGCTATGCCCACCTTCCTTAGAGAGACATCAGCACTGTGTCTGCTGCTCCTGGCTCCACCAGGCACACCTGGGTGGAAATGCAGAAAGGAACACTCGAGCACATCACCTGGGACAGCTGCCAATCTGTTCAGCATCCTCCAGGCATTTCAAGCTTGTTGCACACCTAATGAGCAGATAATCTGAACCTCCGTGCAGGGTTTTGCACTGCATCTCCTAATCATGGGTAGTCTGGCAGGTCAGATCACCTGGTCACTGCTCCTGGACAACAGACTACTAAATCCCTATGGCGGGAAAACCA